AACATCAGTAACATAGCACCCACCCAGCTGTATAGAAACTCCGTCATGCTAGCTAGCACGCAGTACGAAAAAGTCAGCATAACGAAAATAAACTCCACCTAAACTTGGTTCATATCTGACCCAGATGGACTGCAGGGTATAACTTCTTACCTGAAGTTCAGTTCACCTGGCGTTCCTGGTTTTGGCATAATAACTAGTTAACGTGCGCGTTACCACAATAATAACGTAGTTACTGTAACGCGTTACTTAATAACGCGTTAGTCCCAACACTGGTGGTGACACACCTGAATACTGAAACTTGTGAATTACATACAGTTGTCTGAAGTGCTGATCTTGGAATCTGCAAATGTTTGTTAATGACTCCAAGAGCTTTTCCCAACTTGTGTAAACCTGCAGTTCACCTTTGATTTTGAGTTGCTTTGACTTTAGATACACCCATTGTTCTGAGTATTGGTTAGTCCAATGAGTTCTGTAAAATAAGTTTTTTATATGCTGGCAAGGACAGGAAGGAGGAAACTACCAGTTGTAGTCCATCATGATCACTAATGAGAAGTTAATATACCTTGGCCTTGTCAAAATAAAAAGTACAATAAAATAAACAGTATAGAACCTTCAGCACCACCTTTTAAAAGATACAAGTGAGTGTATGTATATATTTGAGCCTGAATGTATAATTTGACAATTTGTGGATCAGCGAAAATCCTGAACAAATTCAAATGTTTTGAAATTATTTAACATGAATGCTGGGAAATCATTCTACCCTGGCAAAGGAACATCTCAAAGAAATCATTAAAAGTATATGCAAACAGCGTTGGGAATACATGGAATACAACGGAATACATGTACCGGCGTAACGTATTTAAAATACAAAATATGAGTAACTGTATTCTGTGAAAGTTACCGTTTAAAAAGGTGGTATTTAGAATACAGTTTCTTTGTTGAAATAAATGGATTACATGGTGGTCTTTTCCTGTTTAATATGTAAGGCTATGCCCTCTCTACTTTTGGTAATTCCAGGCCGGTGGAAACCCAAACAAAACACAGATTAAGAGGCTCTAATGCCTGTGTCTCAATCTTGCGGCCCATGTCATCCTTACTTGTGGCCCCTAAGTATTTTTTAAAATTATTTTTCAGAAAGTTATTTAATATGAAGGCAAAAGGCAGAGTGTTGCAGGCATAGCACTAAAGAATGTACACTCAAAAAAATGAAATTGGGTGGTTGTTACATGCATAAGATCCAAACTTGTAATTTGAACTAAATAATTCCATGTTTCTATGGTGAACGTAATTAAATCATGTAGCATCTGCATGAAATTCAGCAACTTAATTTGTTCTTGTTGAGATGACATCATACAATCTAGTAAGAGCGGTTAGTTGCCTGGATCCAGCCACTCTTACTGGATTGTATCATGTCATCTCAACAAGAACAAATTAAGTTGCTGAATTTCATGCAGATGCTACATGATTTAATTACGTTCACCATAGAAACATGGAATTATTTAGTTCAAATTACAAGTTTGGATCTTATGCATGTAACAACCACCCAATTTCATTTTTGTGAGTTGACTCACAAAATTCACAAGATCACATTAGATGTCAAACCACAGGAAAGTCACTAGGGTTACAAGAGGCAGACAACCACACCACGCGTATGCTGTTACTATTTCTTATGGTTTAACTTGTCAAGGACAGCAACATAAAGCATCATCAAGCATAGCTTTCCTACTTTTGTTAAGTCTGTATTGACAGATTAATGCCATGGTGGTTCGTGCTATTGCCTCAGAGCAAGAAGATCCTGGGTTCAAATCCACAATGTGGCGAAGTTTGCAGTGGGTTCTCTCTGCGTACTTTGGTTTCCTCCACAATTAAAAGTCATGCAGTTGTAAGGGTAACTGGTTATTCTAAATTGCCCAAAGGTGCTAAAGTGCAAATGATTGTTTGTCTCTGTATGATAGACTGGCGACCTGTCCAGTCTGTACCCTGTCCCTCTTGCCCTATCACTTCCGCAGCCCAGATAAAGACAAGAAGATGAGTAGATTGGAAGTTGCTGTAAATCCATTGATTTTTTTTTGTTGAACATTACTTAATATGAATACAACATACACTACAGACATAAGTTACATTTCATTCATTCAACAAGATTATCATTGGTGTAACAAACAAATATTTTACTAGTTCATGTAACAAGACTGACTTTTGATGTGCCAAAGTGTTTAAACAATATAAGATGGATTTAAATAAATTTAATTAGACTAACGTGGTGCAAACATGTTGATTGAACAAAAGTCAAATTAATTGAATGTTAATGTTAATATTATGTTAAACATACACACATATATCGTGTTGACACAACACAATCAAGATGGATTAATATATATGATTTGTTTAGATGGAATATAAGTGGCAAGATAAAATTACGTTCATCCAATGAATTAATTTTTTTGAGTGTAGGCTCATGGGCAGTGTAGTCCGTGCTGCAGTGAGAATGGACTGCCATACCCATTATGTGTCTGGCGAGGGAGGAAGAAAAAGGAGAGTCGAAAAGTACGAGGTGTTACTGACCAGAAACAGGACATGGAAGCATGTAAATATAATAAGAACCACTACAACCAAAAAGAGTGCCTGACCAGCCCACTTGTAAGTAAGCTATTAAGACTCGACAGTACACTGTGTTCGTGTTTTACTCCGAAACAGTAAGTTCCATTGGAGCAGCCTTTCAACGCCTCTCTCTAAAAACCCAAACAAGCATGGAACCTGACGTATTAGCCAGAGGTCCCTTTACTATGGTTCGGAGCCGCGGACCTGTTTTATATATAGTTTTCTACACAAGATCGCTGCAAAAAGTGCAGCCTTACCTAATGTCCGCCCTACTGTCACTCGTTTTATATTAAGATTTAAAAATCTAATTGGAATTGGTATGGCGAGTAACCTTCAGTAATAGTAATAAATCACACAGCAATAGTACATTTACATGTAGTTGTAAAAAGCATGATAATATATTAAGTACTCCTAAGTACTCAGAATACGTTACTCTCGTTGAGTAACGTAACGGAATACATGCCCCAAAATACATTTTGGGGCATGTATTCTGTAATCTGTAGTGGAATACATTTTAAAAGTAACCTTTCCAACACTGCATACACCTACATGCCTGCTCACATATGCACAGGCAGAGGTTGAGCTTAGCTAAAGGTCTCACTTGATGGCAGTGTTCAGGAGCTGAATCTCCTCTTTCAGTTTCTGAGCTTCCTCGTGCAGCTGAGCTCTCTCCTGCTGCATCTTAGTGATGTACTCGGCGGTCTTCTGCAGTGTGGTGGCTTTGCTGATCTGCACACAGCAGAGAGAGGGATTACCATACATCAATCATATACAAAAATTATTCACCATTATGAATAATTATTTAAATTGACAAGCTCAAATCTGGTTGCACTGTTAATGCTAAGACTTAGCATTTGCATGTTACATATTACAATCTGCCTCCAACTTTCAGCATATCCATCTAAAATGCAGCAGCACATGTTTTCACAGTACCTTTATGCTTGGCTGAGAGCTGAGTGTTGTCACGAGGTTATGTAAAGTGTCAAATCCCAGTTTGATGTTGAAACGCCTCTTCTGCTCTGCTGAGATGTGAGTTATCCTCCTGGTGTCTGTTTGCTGCGCACAGCAGAGCTCAGAAATATATTTGTCACACTTCACACACATTCACATACTGAGATAACAATAAGACTCCTATGTTCTCTCTCATCACTTAACAAGGACTTGATTATTTAATATGTATAAAAAAGAATATATCCAGGACGTCCTACCTTACTTGATTCTAGCTTTCCATATCCTGAGAACCCTGAGTGTGGAGACTCTGGGTTGGAGGCTTTGTCTAGAGGGTTTGGTGGTGATGTTTGTCCTTGATGTGTTGGAAAATTAACTAGAGAAAAAATAAATAACATTCATGACATTTATGTATTATATTTGTTGGAAATCAGATGCCCCTATGTGCGTCAAACCCTGCAGTAATGAGTTTTTAATCCATTAAATCAGCTAGACATGTTGTGGCTGTGGATGCTGGCATTTAATTAAGGCTTCAGCAGTACAGTTTTAGTCAGGACCATTACGCTCAAAAGAAGATTGATATTTTTATCTGCAGTAATTATCTTTGGTATAATGGCTCTCCTCTGGGGCTTTGCATTCAATGTGCCACTCAATGTTCATAACAGGAAAGGTGAAGGTGAGGAGAGCGGTAAAGGAGGAGCTTGGGTTGGGGGTGGGTTGCTAAGTGGCTTGTAGCAGCCCAGCCCTCAACTGTGCAGAGGCCAAAAACTATTAAACTGATACACTGTTACACTATATGATACTTTTTATCATGATAGGTTTTTGAATAGGCTGTGTAATAAATTTGGGTCACCAAAACTGACAAAATGTCCATCAACAATAAATAGATATAATTGTTAAATAGTGAGGGCGCACTGTAAACGGACTTGGCATGGCTGAAAATAACATTCTTTATTGAATGATGAGTTTAGATTTGAGACTCCACAGAAGTCTGATAACAAAGCAACACTTTGCAAATTAAGATTGACCATTTAGATTTAGCTTCTCTTTTTGGTCATGAGCTGCAGATTAATAAATAATTAAAATAACATTTACTCCGCAGTGCTCAAGCAGGAAAAATGATTTTCAAAATAACTTTGGTTCTAAAAGAATAAACTCATTTATCAGCTGCTCATTAGTTTCTGCAAGTGAATCTCTTATTAGTTAGTTTTCAGCTCCTGTCACAGCACAACAAATATTTATATTTTGAAGCAGTCAGACTGTGCTCTGTGACTTTTAATGTTTACAGTAACATTCTTTAACAGCTGCTTGTGTATTCAATGTTAAAATGACACCACTTTCTTGTTCACATACCGCTTCTTCTTTGCACATCAGAGCTTTAAGGTTTCAGGAAGTGTTCCTGACTACATTCACGTTTTTAATGCAGTGCCGCCTGAGCCTGAAGATCACAGGCATCCAGTATTTATTATCAGTGCTGCCCCTTAAACACAGAGATTTCTCCATTCTCAGACTCTTTTGATGATATTATGTAATGTACCAGTAGTCAAGAGATAATCAAGGTCATCATGCTTATTTTATGCTGATGAACATTACTTTAATATTGGCCCATAATTTAATTCAATTCAATTCAATTCAATTCAATTCAATT